AGACGGATAACAGAGTGGGGGAATACAGTAAAGCTTCCTGCGAGAAAGAAAGCCGAAAAGAGGCCCATCGGCCCATCCTCCTCCATTCTGCCATCCCTCTTTCCCTTTAAAAAAAATAAAGTCACTTGCCAGCCACTAGCAAGCCCCCCGAAACATCTCTTTCCAGTCCCGCGGGGGCCATGGGAGAGGTGCCGCTTCTTTCATCAATGCCGCCTTGTTTTGGGGGGCGGCTGGAGTGAATGCATGCGAATGCAGGAATGGCTGGCAGAGCCCAGCGCCAGAGCTGGCCGGCCATACCGCAGAGCCGAGTGCTGCAGCCCATTTCATATGGAAATGGACGACGCAGAATGCAGTCAATTGCTTTACAACTGACTTTGGCTCGCACGGCCTAAACGGAGTCATGGAGAAAAGACCTACTGGTACGCGAAGGCGGCTTGGCATTGGCGGCGAGTGGAAAGGAGGCAAACATAGAGTCGGGAAGCCTATTAAGCCATTCAGATCAGCACCGCTGACTCCTATTGGAAACTTTAGAACAAATTTGAGATTGTGAGATTGAAATATTGTCCAAATTATTTGTAAAATGTGAAATAATCAGCACCAAAAACGTGTTAGTTCCAAAAATCTGCAGGAAAACATGTCATAAATAGCGTAAAAATAAATAATAAACAACAACATCGGATTGGATTGCATTGACTAAAAAAAAAAAAAAAACACTGAGAGATTTTTAAAAACATCTTCTTTTGTAGTGCACATAAGAAATATAATTATACAGGTTTGGAATGACACGAGGGTGAGTAAATGATCACAGGTTGTTAATTTTTGATCACTTTTAAGATAAAATTATTTACAACCCACTCTCACTCAATCTAACATCGTCAAACGGGAACACCATCACACAGGCTTCTCAGCTTTCAGATGGCACTGCGGCAGTGACTAACACAGCCAGTGAGGGTGCTGTGTACACTGAGAGGATTAGAATTCTTCATTAGTGCCAACTGTGTTAACTTCTGTTCCTGTTTCTAATACAGCAGCCCTGTTGCTCAAGGACTCTCACCAGAAAGGCCCAGAAGCATGTGTGAGGTTTAAGGAGCACGTGCAGAACAGGAAAAATGGGATTTCTGCATTTTCTCACTGTTCAAAATGCAGACGTCATTACTGTTTATTTAGCTTGTTCACACATTTGTGTAATAACCTACACGCAGGAATGAACACCAAACACACGTCTAGCGGACGTGCAATTCTTTCTAGAACAATAAACAATGACAGTCTGAAAGTCATGCTACTTAGCAGGCACATTTTCACAATCATAGCTGTTCAATTTTTAAAGGTATTTAAGACAAGAAGCACCAACCTAGTGACTTTTGTGTGCAGTTTTGAGATGCTTGAGTTTGAGTACAAAAGTGCTACTTCAGTCCCTGGCAAACCTAAAAATGTTTTAAGATGGCAAGATTTGCAACAGTTACTTATAGAGCTTGGTTCTATAAGTAATTTTCCCATTTATTTGCTCCATAAGGATTTCAAACCATTCTTTAATAAAAAGTTCTAAGCCTTAAATCAAACCAACCAGCTTCGAGATAAATCGCAACAGAACAATATTTAATTTGAGGCAAGAAAGTATTTGAAATTCTACTCCCATCCCATGCAGCACAATAAAATACATAATAGTCAAATCAAATTTATTTGCAAAGCACATTGTTTCAAAACAGCCTTTCAGAAAATCATGATGTACTGTATGTATTAGGATAAAGCTGGATATACTACATAGCAAATTTTAAATATATCGCTGGGCAATTATATAGTTTACATTTTGTGGCGAAAGAAACAATCAAGCAGTTGATATTTGCTATATAGTATATATTGCTTTGCGTCAGTTTTACTGTATTTACTGTATGTATATGGATAAAGTTGGATCCCACTTTAAAGGGATAGTTCACCTAAAAATGAAAATTCTGTCATTAATTACTCACCCTCATGTTGTTCCAAACCCGTAAGACCTTCGTTCATCTTCGGAACACAAGTTAAGATATTTTTGATGAAATGTGAGAGCTCTCAGACCCTGCATAGACAGCAACGCAACTGAAATGTTCCCAGGTCCACAAACATAGTGAGGACATCGGTAAAACAGTCCATGTGACATCAGTGGCTCAACTTCAGTTTTGCGAAGCTATGAGAATACTTTTTGAGTGCAAAGAAAACAAAAATAACATAATTTATTCAACAATTCTTCTCCCCCGAGTTACGTCTTCTGCCATTTTAGAGTATCACAACACATATGCATGCTTTCTCTTAAGCATAAACAACGCTGATTGCGCAGATTACGTTCATGCACGCGCTTTCTCCTCCGAGTGTAAACGGCGCTGGTTATGACGATTACGCTCTTGGGTACTCTCCAAAATGGCCAAAGACGTAACTCAGGGGAGAAGAATTGTTTAATAAATTGTTACTTTTTAGTTTTCTTTGCGCACAAAAAGTATTCTCGTAGCTTTGCAAAACTGAAGTTGAGCCACTGATGTCACATGGACTGTTTTACCGATGTCCTTACTACGTTTCTGGACCTGGGAACATTTCAGTTGCGTTGCTGTCTATGCAGGGTCTGAGAGCTCTCACATTTCATCAAAAATATCTTAATTCGTGTTCCGAAGATGAACGAAGGTCTTACGGGTTTGGAACAACATGACGGTGAGTAATTAATGACAGAATTTTCATTTTGGGGTGAAAAAACCCTTTAAATATTGTCGGGCAATAATATAGTTTACATTATGTGACGATATAAATATCTGAATTACACTGCAAAATGATTACATTTATAGAATGTAGGCCTGTAAGTAGTTTGAAAGTGTTAGACATTATTGCTAAAATGGGATTGTTTATAGAAGTTTGTTTCCACCACAGGATTAAAAAACAAGATCGATAACTGGGACTTTTTCTCTCACGATTCCGAATATTTTTCAAGCAATTCAAGATATAAAATTCAGTATTTCAAGATATAAACAAGGAATTGTGAGATGGAAACTCATAACTGCAAGATAGATTTGGTGAGATAAAAGTCACAATTACCTTTTTTTTAAATATATAATTCCACGGAAGAAACAGAATTGTGAGATGTAAACTCACAATTCTGAGAAAAAAGTCAGATTTCAGAACCTCACAATTCTGAGAAAAAAAAAAAGCGAGATATAAACTCGCAATTGAGAAAAAAGTCTGAATTTTAAGATAAGAAGTTGTTATTGCCTTATCTATCTATCTATCTATCTATCTATCTATCTATCTATCTATCTATCTATCTATCTATTAATCTGTGGTGGAAACAAGCTTACATAGATGTTTACCGTTTTAAACAGTGAAATGCAAAAGTGTTTAAGTTATGCACTTTAAAGCTTGCTGACAGCCAGGTTCAGATAAGGCCCTCTGTCCAGCATCAAACTGATTTCCACTCTTTTTTTGTGCATGGAAATCCTGTTACAGATCATGAGGCCCCTCACTGATCCACATCTGATTGAGCCTACTGAATGAGATATCATTGTTCGCTGATCTTCACGGTGTTGTCTGCACCCATGACTGCACATAAAAAATAAAGGCCGCTGGTGAATGTGACACTGAGTGAAAGTGTCCTTTTAATCATTGCAATCCAAAGATGGCTAATACGTGACTAATGAAAGTGAAAAATAATTTAAAAACAAGTTATGAATCAGCAGCATCATCACATTTGCAGGCAATGAGTAACACTCATATTCATTTACAAAGGACGGTTTCACAAGTTGGTTAATGAACATCATGACATGAGGTGTCAAAACTGTTTAGATTGTGCCAACTCAGGGTTTTCAAAAAAAGTCCAAGTTTAAATTAAAATGCATCATGCCAAACAAGGTAACAAGTAACTACCTTCAAAGACCTTTGACCCTCAGGTCTGCAACTGAGAGCGTGAGGAACCAACGGGAAGTGAAGCTCAGCGGATTAGAGAAAGTAACCTGTCCCCCCTCCATCAAGACCCTTTGGTCATTTCCTCCAAAACACATGCTGAATAAAGCTGGATTACTGGAACTCATTCCTGGCTCGCATTTCTGAGGAGATCAATCAAGCCACAAATTTAAACCTGACACAAACTTACCAGTACGAATACCCAAAAGACTGTGCGAGAAGATGTGATTTTGACGCCTCAAGGTCACAATATGTCAGTAAATTTGAATTTAATTCGCTTTTTTTTAACGCAACCATCCCAATTCTCCCAATAAACAAATGAACACAAGACGGTTTAATCTCAATAAAGACAACCACAGCTAATTTTCACTAGGATAACAAAGGGATTCATGAGCAGCAATGGTAGTCTTGAACGGCAGCTGCTGAGTAATTAGTTGCTTGATTCACATAAGAAGCTTACATACTAAGGGTTGGGCAAAAAGAAAGCAGATTACATTTCGAGAAGCTCTAGCCATGCAACCAACACAGAGCAACCTGTTGCTGTCAACCCACTAACAGTCTTTTAGAAACAGGCCCGAGCGCAGAAACGTGTTGGATTTGCTTTGCACCAGCAGCTTGGGGTCCTGCTAGAGATTGTCTTCAAGTCACATGCTCGTCTCTGTTACCTAGCAACGCCAAAGCCCATGCAAAAGTTCCCCGAGAACCTCACTCAAATCTGTCTGAGCGAGGCTTTGTGCGCCACAGCAACAATGTTGTTAATATTCAGCTTACAACATTTTTTTTTAAACAAATACTTGTTCTGTCACATATAGGTTATTTTCACGATCTAATTTTACTTTGAGCAAAAATCCGTTCATTATAAATAACAATGCCGTTATTCGATGTTTATTTTTCCACAAAAAAGTGAGAATTTAATTACACTTTTCCCCAGTTATGTATATCAATTAAACCAGAATAATTGTGATATAATGCAAAGTTACTTGCCCGTTATGTCTATTGTTAGAAAAGTCGCTCTAAGGGACTGTATCTAAAACAAATAGGCTATGATACGAAACAAGTTAATAATAAAAGTCGCACCGTACCTTGACAATCGCAATGAAGCACACATAAAGTTATAATGAGGAGAAGTTGTAGGTGCATTGTGACGCACGGTCCCGGCTGGTGTGTCCAGCCCCTCATGAAGCCAGCCAGATGGAGCTCTTGGGACTGAGATGCAGTGAAGTGGCTCTCACTCACTTGTCCCGGGCTGATGAAAAAGGGCGTGCTCATGATGCTCCCCCCCTCAGCTCGACCCACAGGATCAAATCCTTAACTAGCTCCCAGGAATCTGCAGAGCTCACTGACTAGACTACATAATGTGTGGATGGTGCAGTCACAGTATGTGAAATATTTACAAATCACTGGTATTATTGCGGTTGTTATAATAATAATAATAATAATAATAATAATAATAAATTAGAATAATAAAATAAAAAATCTAATAACTGTTATAAATAATAATAATTATTATTATACATTTCTTAATTTACTGAGATACCTGTTGCTGATTTGCATGTTCCCCGATTCTGCAACGGAATGAATGGCAGGTTGAGAAAATTATCTGAGAGATTTTCTGACATAAGATAATCAAACATAGCTTATCTGATCATCTCAAAATGGCCTAATATATTAGTATAATATAGTATTAATATATATATATATATATATATATATATATATATATTACATAATATAGTCTATTATATAATTACACTGAAAAGTATTGGTGTATTGGTTTCCTCTGAAACAATTTTCACTCAAAAATTTATTTATAAAAGAATTTCAAAGAAATGGTAAAAGTAACACATTGAATTAACTGTGACATTTTAAAATAGGAAGACTGTTAAAGAAAGAATCTTTTTTTTCAGCAGTTGACTGTAAAAATGTTTTCATCACAGCATTAAAACCAACTTGATACTCTTGATCGGTAATTGCAGTGTGTAGCCTTTGGCTATTTTACTTCACGTTTAAGGCAGCAATTTTAAGCTTCCTATTTAAACTTGTGTCTGATTGAACAATTAATAGAAATGGCCATTCAGCCAAAAGTCATTTTCAAAATCTAATGACAGGCTTGTGCAGATTTTTGTAGTCAATTTTAAGAAATATTGTGCCATCATTGTCATACCAGCTTAAGGCAGTGGTGATCAGCCCCCTAATGACCAGCTTAAACCAGTTAATGACCAGCTTAAACCAGTTAGAAACCAACTACTATGTTCCAAAACACAGCTACCATCTTAACAGGCATCAGCCACTAGTGGCAATGGACATTAAAAAAAAAACATGGTCAACCACGTTTTTTTAAACAAATTAATTTGTAACTTTTTAAACTTGTGCTTCTAATATGTAACAACAGGCTAATTCAATAATAACAAATTGACTGTGCTTTTCGTAGAGTCTGTTGAGAGACCACAGCATGATACTTCTAAGGTTGGACACTCGAGTCAACATTTTTGCAATTAGCAAAAAAAGAGACTTCTTGTTTAAATGATAAGAACCCACAGCTGGAATCTCGGATTCTCAAGATTGAGCACAAGTTCAAGAGTAGCCCGGACTCAGATAATGCAGAACATGGTTTTAAATGCGTTACTTAAGGTCAGCGGATTTCTATAAGGCAAGTTAAAGATCTCATGCTTAGCTAATAAGTGATCCTTCTGGGCCAAAACTAAAGGTGCATAAAGATCTGATGTGTGTTAAAGTCAGCCTTTTATGTCCTGTGATCCTCACTTTATAATTAAAGAGCTCCCACTGAATAAAACATCTTAAAGCAGATGGTTTGAAGATCTTGATCTTGACCCGCTGTGAAA